CCTTATTAATTTGTTTTTGTATGGAATCAAACAACTTGGCTAATAAATCAAATAAATCTGCTCCAAAAACAGAATAAATATTGCCGGGCTCATTAGTATAGACTTAGCCAATCAAAAAATATATTCTTAACCCTATGAAGAGGTAAAGTCATCCTGGTAACATAGGAAAAAACAACAATCTGACTTACAAATTTGAAATTCGTTTTTCTTACATAAAAAGACAGCTAGATCTAGATCTAAATGGAAGGAAATTGGGTCAGAATCATTTAAAAATGGACTATTACAAGCACATTATACAGCGCGCTAGTTTTATAATAAATATTAAAATAATTATTTAATGACAGCGAATGTCCGAATTAAATAAACTACTCTAGAGTCTAGATCTATCAATAATTTCAATGTATAGATCTATATATTATATATCTAATTGTATTCTAGATCTAATACTTACTCGAATGCGAAAAAAAGTCCACTTGTTATAATTATGAGTGCACATGTGAGATAAAATACTCCAGCTTGTCTAGCCATCATTATCCTTCCACCACAATAGAATTTGTTTTTTCCTGGGAAAACTTCCCATCTTCTCACTGTTTTCGTCATTTTAATTTGTATCTCTTGAGAATCTTGCTCCTCACCGGTTTTCGAATTGGAAAAGCCAGTTGTTGACACTGCAGTGTAATAGTCTTTCATGAGTGAAGCAAATACGCAATTTAAAGGTCAGCAATAAATCCGTCATTGAAAACAACATCCCAGTTCTTGTATCCTTCATTTACGCGTTAATTTGATGTCTTTACATTGTGAGAATTTTAAAAGCTTAGTATTGAATAAAAAATAATAATAATCTAAGAACTATCCAATGTTTTTGTTAGAAGGAAATGTCGCCAAGACTTTGTTGATCATTATGTCCCATATCACGCATGCGCAAAAAGTCATTATGCATTATTTTTTCACAATAAAACTAAGGTCTATATAGATCTAGTTATTAAGGAAAAGAAATAATGAACAATACTCAATGTGAATTTATTATTTTTTTGCAAAAGTCCTTGTAATCTAGATCTATCTTTGTTTTCTTTTTTTTTAATAAGAAAAAAAATATTCGTAACTAAGGCGAGTGAAATCCTTCTAGATAGTAGATCTCTTTCCGGGTTAAAATTTTAGTAAGGTCAAATGTATTTGTATGAGCTAGCAACATGTTTGAAAATATATCAAATGTCTTTGTACAGACTAGAATCTAATTCAGTAATTGATAGAGTCTATAACTGATTGAGATATAAAAATCTAACCTAATACTAATGTAGAACTAACATATGTCTAGATCTTTTTGAGAAAACGTGGTCTATAATCGAAATTCTATAAAAACAACAAACAAAAAAGGTTTCTTGAAAGAAAATGAGCCCAAAAGACCAAGCACCTGCTGAGGCTGCTCTAGTATCTGGCTCTGGTCCATCATTATTGACTAATACTAATGAACATGTCGACGATAAATACCAAAAATTAAAAGGTTGATCTAGTCTCTAATTTACATTCCCATTACCTATAGCTAGACTCTATTTTAGATACTTAGATCTAAATTAAATCTAGATCTATAGTCTTCTAGATAAAAAAAATTAGATCTATCAAAATCAAATCTATTTTCTAAATTCTAATTAGCGGATAAGTTAGTACTTACTAAGCTACTTATACAATCGTATACTCTATAGTATAAGACTCTAGATCTATATGAATTTATAATAATTTATATTTATGTCATGATCTCCAGACTATAGACATAGTCAGAATCAAGATAAATCTTTCCTCTTGAATCAGAGCTCTAGATCTAAGATGTCTAAGTTGTCTAATATTGAATATTGTCATCTTTATCTAGATTAAATTTAAATTTTTAAGTACATTTTTATGATTTTAAAATGATGTCTTTTTGTCTGGGCCACTTTCAGGGATATAACTTAATGTCTTAAGAATACTTTAGTCTATAATATACTGATTTAGACTTTTGAATTTTAATTGTTGAAGGTGAAAATATTAAATAAAATGTACATTTTTGAAACCTTGTTTTACTTTTCTAAATGTTTGTTTGTCAGCTGCAATATTTCTAACAACAGTGACTGGCATGTCAATATTAGGAGGGTTTGGAACTACATTAGCTATGTCCAAAAGACAAGATCCCACAAATTTTTCTAAGGTAATTTATTTTATGATGCTTGTTTTAAGTCATACCTAATGATTTCTGTCTCAAGTAGCACTGATGAAAATGTTATGCTCCCTCTTGATAATGAACTTCATAAATGCTGTGCATTGCATGTGCCACCAACTTATATTTTGTGGAAACCTGCAGGATGTATGGTAGCAAACATTTTTTTTTCTCCAGGTTGTTTCCTCAGATAAACTTAGGTGTCAGAAATTCAGGTTTATTGCCATAGCACAGCAGGCTAGGTGTTGGGCTTAGTTCCCAGAAGTGAATTTCATTTAAAAGTACTTCTGTAGACAGTGGGAGTTTATTTTATCTTCACTGACACCTCCACCTAAAATAACTTGAAACCTCTGTTCTACTATACAAGTTTTAATTGATTACATTCATTGACATATTAATATTATTAATAGGTTTTAATAGAATTTAATTTATTCAATGAAACCAACTTAACTTAAAGCTGTACTGTAATTTATTTTGTCAATTGCAATTTAAATTGAAAAAGGGTATCCATGGTTCCAGAGAGATTCCAGAGAGCGGTATCAGTTTAGCAACACGTGCCCTGGCTAGAGGATCTCTCTATTCTGTTGCTGGTGTTAGTTTCATCTGCTTTGCGGTGTGGAAACTTATGCGAGTTCATGATGTGAGTCTAAAAGTTTATTTTGTTCAATACATCTAATAAAGCATTTTTTTAAAATAAATTTGCTTTTTTTTTTTTTTTTTTTTTGTATATACACAACATTCAAACAAATTTTAAATGTGTTTAGTGATCTTCATAATACTGTGTTAATTTTTGTTTTAAGTTAAAAGAATTCCGGCATAAAATGGGATCCATTTTACCCACAATTCCCAAAAAGCCAGAACCTGGCAGAAGCGAGTTTACTACTATCAGAGATTTATTTAACTACATCATCGAAGAAGATGAAAAAGAAAAGAGAGCCAAAAAGCAGATGTGATAGCATTCTTTCATCTGTAAATAATTTGTTAAGGCATGTAAATAGTACTTTGTCATGATTAGTTGTTCATTGTGTGTTCATTGATCTGGGTTGATACTAAAATAAAGTTATTAACTAGAAATGATTATTGGCTTGCATTGACTTTAAGCTAAAAATGTTAATTATTACACAGGATCATTCTTGAATGGTTAGAAGTATTTGGTTAGATGTGATATTATTTTTCAGCACAATTCATTAGGGTTACTGATTTATGCAATTTTTGTGCAACATTCTAATGTTAAGTTGGCTACATAAAACAGTTTTAATTTACCTTTTATGGTATATGTCATCATTTTCCACAAAAAAAATCTATACCATCTGCTGTAATGTGCTACTGGGAAGCATGGTCGAGAGGCTAAGTACGTTTGAACTTGGCTTGACTACCTATGAAGGGTCTTGAGATTCGACACCCAACTCGATCAGTTGTTAACCCCCCCCCCCCCCCCCCCCCAAACTGGTCCACGAATGAGATTGGACCATAATGCTCTGAGCATGCTATAAGCATGAGCTATAATTATATATATATATATATATAGGAGCTATAACTTATTTACTGAAGCAATAGATGTATTCACACCATGTTGCTTAAAGGGTTTGGTCACATAATCACACAGATACATTAAGAGTGTTACATTCTGTTGCTGTGAGTTTATGTTTGTGTATTATTATAGTTTCTCAATGAAACAGTAGCATTCAAGTTTGTTAAAGTTACTCACTGAACTCATAGTGATAAACTTTGAGATGAAATGTTTTTAAAACTTGACATCAATCAGAATAACAATGTAAATCCAAAAAAAATTGAAATTACAGTAATCATGTGATTAAGTGGTTGGATCTGAACTGACTGAACCACTGAATAACCTCAACCACACTGGTTTCTCTATTGTAGTATTTATATAGATTTTTCTAGAAGTCGCAGTAAACTTTTCTTAGAAAATTTGTACATGTTGGCTTGTTAAATTATTTAAATATTGACTGGCCAAGAGTTTTTAATTGCATTGTCCTTTGATCTCCTTTAGAAATTATCCCCTCTTGACTGAATGCATTGTGGAGTGTGACAAAGTAACTGGTGAGTGCAAAATGAGTATTTGTGATGCTATTATTTAACATGGCTGTTTGAAGTGTTTGACATTGTCTACTGTTGCTGAATAAAAGTGATAATTGCCCATGTAATCAAATGTTGACATTGATACATAAACTAGTCTTGGTATTTCATTTTTGTATTAAATAAAAACAAAAGTAAAACAAAAATTCAAGAATGCAAAATGTGTGTTTTACTAATGTTCTCAATACAAATTGGATAGAATATTATAAATATCAATGTACCATTTTGGCTTCGTTGTATTAATAATAAATTATATTGAAGTTTTGGAAGTAAATGTATCCTGAATATAGTTAGTATGAATTAATCGTGATGAATGCCTGAACATTTTTTGTAAATTTAAATGAAGGTAAAAGAACAATAAATTATATTTTGTGAATATGGCAGTAGTTTTGTGAATTGTTTTTCAATGTGAGATAGCTAGTTTAATTGAAATGTTTTCCTTGTATGAAATAGTGAAAGTGCTATAAGACTGAGTAATCTAACCATTTATGATTTATTTATCATGTCAAAAAGAAATTAATCAAAAAACTTTTACACATAAAACTTATAATGAAATTACTAAGCCTGCAGGGGGAATATTTTTTTCATACGGTATGTTGAGTAAAATTAAAAAGGTTTTTAATACCTACAAACTAATGTGAAAGATTAAACATATTTTTCATAACATAAAAATCAATCAATATCAAATAAACAATTACTACAATACAATGATACAATATTTTGATAAAGATATTTTATTAACTTTGGTTTTTATCACAGAAATATAAAGAAATACATTGTAATGTAACAATTGACATGGACGGATCTCTTCTTAGTATTCTACACTATTTATAATGGGAGTAGCATATCAGATCTGAGCATTGTCAAAATATACAGAGATTTAAACTTGCTGTGGACAGTGTAGAATAATCTAAGCAAACGTTTTGGCAATTACTATGTACAATTAAAGTTTAAACAAAATATTTACAAGTGAGACAAATTAAGCTCAAATGATGTTTACACAATGCAATGACAATATTGTAAGCTTCATTGGTAAATGGGTAAAGTGAGAAGTATTATAGCTGCCTGTTAGGTGTACAAGAATCACACTTCAGTTCAAAATAAATCCCTGCATCCAATCCAGTCTGGCCACCACATCACTTAGTAAACAACAAAAGTACATCAAATATTCAAATCCTTACAAAAGCGTTTCAACAGTAATGTCTTCAGAAAATGACCGGTGTGGTGAACAGCATTCATGAAATGCTTCTTCAATGTGTAAGAGAGAATCCATGTAGCTTTAGGACATCTAACTTGCTATATGAGCAAAGTCTTTTAATATTTTTTCACCCTCAAACGCCTGATTTCAACTTCAACTATTTTGTAGCATTCATCCAGCCACATTATGTAATATTTCCCTTGTTAATATTAGGCAGGATACGCTATGTACTTGTAAACAGTACACTCTGACTTTTTAATATGTAATTTTATGGAACTAGTCAATTGTAAATTATAATATTTGTACACATTAAATGTATGTATAAAACTTGTATCTTTTTCTATATTACAAATACACTCTACAACCCTTAATAGAGCCATAATATATGAGTTAGGAATCTCTGTTATATTTGTAAAGTATACATTTTTTAACAGCAATTATTCAATATCTGTACTTTCATACAAAAATGATGCTAGACAAAACCAAGAGGTCTGCCCAGACTGATTATTCACTATTTCATAAATGTAAAGATAATAAAAATATATTGATGAACTATATACAAGTATATATTTTTTTGTTCAGAAGATTATATTAATGAATTTAGTATTCACTACACATGCATAGTGTGTGAAATAAATCCAACTGTTGTCTCTGAAAACTGTCCAAAACTGTTGTACTTGAACTAAGCATGGGTAACACAATAGTGAAGATCATAAGACTGTACATGTTCTGGACTGAAAAATTAAAAGATTGATTAAAATAGCAGCTATATAGTGTTAGTGTTCAAATCCTTATGATTTTCTGTCATCTAGTGTATTGTCAAATTGTTTGTCTAGGAAAATTGTTATAAAAATGTAACAAAACAACTAAATAATAGTCTTTTATTAAGGGAAGCATACACAATTTATTTTACAAAATAAATTGAAAAAAATATTTACATTTGAAAGATTAGTATAGCTTTGGAAAATGTTTAGCCTTTTAAGCCCAACCAAGCTATTATTACTAAATTTTCAGTTAAAAACAAATTCATCTGATAAATAGAGTAGAACATATTTATAACAAATATGGCATAAAATGAAATCTTTAATTTAATAAATAATGTCAAGGTTCTTTCTTTACTTTTTTTTTTGTCCATGTCGATTTAGCTACATTTAAACATTAAGACAAGACTTAAAAAAAACAACTTTGATATTGCCAAACCAGACTATCTTTTTAAAATCTTCAATGCACTATCTTTGTCTTAAGCAATAAGTAACTTGCTGTTTGTCATTTTCATGCTGACCTCTCATAGCTCAGCCTACTTATTTCAGTCTCGTATGTGGTGCATGGACACAAAAGTTTGAGTGTCACCATCTGGCCAAAAAATCTAAGATCATTTGTTATTATCCTTCAGATACACAAATATGTTTGTAGTATTCTTCAGCCATAGGTAAAATATTTCAACATTTATTCAAAATTTTTCTTTTTAATTTTTATTTGTATGAAATGTACTATTAGACACACTAGATGGCCTGGGGTTTCCAGACATAGTAGAAATTGATTTTGTGTGTACACTAATTAAATCGATCTAAATGATTTTTAAAATGCTGTACTAAGCCAAAATTCATGCAACATTTTAATATTTTGTTTTAGTCAAGCTGGAAATCTAATTGAGCATAGGGTATAGGGAGATCTTGTGCTGACCAAATAGCTACACTCAGAATAATTGTAGAACAATGTGTCGAATGGCAATCTCCTCTCTATGCAACTTTTGTCGACTTTGACAGTGTCGACAGAGAATCTATCTGGACTGTAATGAGACATTATGGGATCCCCAATAAAATAATAACCATAATCAAGAACCTTTATGATGATTTCACCTGCCAAGTAACCCACTGTGGCAAGCTGTCAGAGGAATTTCCAGTCACAAAAGGAGTCAAACAGGGATGTTTTCTTTCACCACTCCTGTTCCTTCTAGTATTGGATTGGGTCACAATTGAAACCTACTCTAACGCAGGGAAAGGAATCCAATGGACTCTCACACAAAAGCTGGAAGATCTGGAATTCGCTGATGACATAGCCCTATTATCACACAGACTACAGGATATGCTTTAAGCGAAATAGGAAAAAGAGTAGGCCTCAAAATAAACCACCAAAAAACTAAAGTACTTAAAGTAAACAATAAACAAATTGGAGACATAGTACTAGATTCTCAGACAATAGACCAAGTAGAAAATTTTATATACCTTGGGAGTGTAGTCAGTATATTAGGTGAAACTGATGAAGACATTAAACGCCGTATAAATCTAGCGCGTCAGACAATTACACAGCTAAAACCAAACTGGAAATCTCCTCACATCTCAAACAAGACTAAACTAAGAATCTTTAACTCTAATGTCAAGGCTGTCCTACTGTATGGTTCTGAAACATGGAGAACAACTGAAGCCACAACAAAAAAAATACAGACCTTCATCAACAGATGCCTGAGAAATATCCAAAAAATACACTGGTATGACAAAGTAGAAAACACCAGACTGTGGGAGATGAGTGGACAGAAAAATATAGAAGTGCAGATCTTAGAGAGGAAGTGGAGATGGATTGGTCACACCCTTAGAAAAGATACCAGCAACAGAGCTAGGCAGGCCTTAGAGTGGAACCCCCAGGGAACAAGACGCAGAGGAAGAACAAAAAGAACATGGCGACGCAGTATACTTGAAGAAGTAGAGAAGACCGGGAAGAGCTGGGAAACCATCAAAAAGCTAGCAAGAGACAGTGGAGAGTGGCGTGTTTTTGTCGAGGCCCTATGTTCCATGAGGAACTCTAAGGAGTGATGATGATAGGGTATAACACAAAATAACACTGGTCTTAAGTAACTATGATGTTACCCAAAAAAACTGTTCAACTATGCACATAAAACGATCAAAGTGAATGACTGAAGTGTTATTTTTATGGGGAATTTAAAAAAAAAAAAAATACTTGCTTTTTTTGCAGGAGGCTTTTTATTTTCATTTTCATCTTTTTCATTGGTTTCATTTTCAATGTCAGACTTTTTGTCCTCTTTTTCTTCCTTCTTTACCTTTTTCTTGTTTTTATCATTATTTTGAATAGATTTCTCATTTTCTTCTTCTTCATTTTCTTCATCTTTCTTTCCTTTTTTCTTCTTTTTATCAGTCTTTTCTTTCTCTTCTTCTTCATGTTCATTCTCTTTACCTTTCTTTCCTTTTTTTTTCTCTTTGTTTTTTTCTTCTTTATTCTTTTGCTTGTCTTTTTTGACATCATTTTCTTCTGTTTTGTCTTTGTCTTCCTTTTTTCCTTTCTAGTTGTAAATAAAAAAATTTAAAAAAAAGACAATAAACATTCGGGTATTAACAATCATGGGGCAGGAGTAGAGTGAGGCAGAAGGTATTAGCAAATATCTACAATCATCTATGTTGAAAACTTATTTTTCTTTGTGTCACTATGAGAGAGTGGAGCAAAGAAAAAAATAGTGTACCATGAATCTCACAAGAAACTGGATGATCAGGAAATAAAGGAAACATAACCTTTACCTTTGATTTGAGATCCTCTTTTGATTTGTCTTCTTCACTTTTACCTTTCGTCTTTTCTGAAAAAATGATTAAAAAAAAATAGAGTTCAAAATAAAACTCTATAATTTGATTATAGAGCAAATAATGATGGCTTGTGAAATGATACAGAAGTTAGTAATACTTTGTAGTAATAATAATAATAGCGTGATTATGAAAAAATATTTCTTCTGCTAAATGTGTAAACTAATAGCTAGATACTTATATGTATTTGGATGTTAGCTGTAAATATTTGTTTTTTTATATGGAGCTATTTTTATGAAAACTACATTGATAGGTTGTTTTTTTCTTGAGAAGCTACTGTCATGACTTAATGTAATGTAATTCTAAATTTTTTAATCTTTATCATTAAAAGATCCTTAAACTTGAAAATTAAATACTTTGTTACATTGTAACTTATTGGTCTGAACCATAGTTACATGAAATTAAATCTTATACCTATTGGTAAGCAAATGAAAGATATCTAGTAATCTTTCACTGAAAAGACTTTTGTTTCTGTTGCCTCTCACACCTCAAGTTCTCACTTCAAGTTCTATATCAGCCTTTTACAGCAGGTTGAACAAAGTAATAAGAATTGAACCACTTCAGTAAACCTTAGTATCAGCCAGACACTTACCATAATCAAAACTTTACTTACCTTTTTTGTCTTTTTTAGTCTTTTCTTCTTCTTTATTCTTTTTCTCTTTCTTATCTTTATTCTTTTTGTTCTTCCCTTTCTCTTCTTTAATGTCAACATTGAATGAAAAGAAAAAAAGACATTAACATAGTTGTGTATAAACGTTTTTTTTTTTTTTTTTAAATTCCTCTATTCAGCTCACGGTTCTCAAAAATGTCTAAAAACGTTTTCCTTAGAAATTGGACAGTTGATGTATATCTATGGGAAAATTACAAGCTCACTAGCCACCCTGGGAAAACTCTAGTTTGATCATTATAATGTTTTAAAGTAGAAAAAAAAAATTTATTAGGCTAGAGGACTAGACAATCTTTATCTTGAACACACTATGTATTCAGTTGTTGTTTTTCTGGTGGTGGGAGGAATGCAGTCTGGAAAAAATGTTCCTTTTTGAAAAATCCATCATTCATTAATTATTAAGAGCAAAATAATTGCTCTATAAGCTGTATAAAGAAGAAATTTTCTTTTTAAAAAAAGTATTTTTAAATTTTACATGTTTTCAAAGATAGATGGTATGATGCAAACTTTTTTTAAATTTAGAAATTAGATAGGATCCAAATCTAAATACCCAATACAAAGGTGTATATGAACCTAACATGAAACTATATGATTAACCAGACATGAATTAAAAAAGATTTCAGACTCCAACTCTAATAGAATGACTATTCTTAATCAGAATGCATCATCATCAGTGTCTTTCTTTCTATACATATATATATATATATATATATATATATATATATATTAAAGATAGTACCTACAATATAAAAATAGTATTTTTAAAATTCATTTTTGTAAAAAAAAAATATGATGTTAGTTGAAAATTATAAAATTTCAACTGGAATTATGGTAAAAAATGTCTAATATTTTTGTATTCACATTTTTTATGTACCAGTTTGGGAGTTCATCATCATCATCATCAAACTCCATTAGAGTGAGTGCTTGAGAGGCTCAAATCCTCTCTTGCAAAAGCCCTGGACAGAAACCCTGCTGTCTTGCGTAGTGCATAAATGTCGCCATACAGGTCGAGAATTTTGGGTTTCCCAGACCTGTCGAGACGGAGATCAGCAAGTCTGGGTCAGTCAAACAGAATATGAGGCACGGTTTCCTCTTCTTCCCCGCAGCGGGGGCACCATGAATCAAAATTTGGCCTTAGCCGCGAGAAATATGAGCCAACAGGACAGTGGCCTGTCCTGCACTGTGCTATAATAGCTTGCTCAGGCCTGGACAGCCTCCACCACGGGGAAGTGCGGTCAGGGCGCCTCATGTGCTCCCAGATTCCATGGGCTTTTTGGGACTTGTCCCAGCACTCAAACCACTTTTCCATTTCTGTTTTTTGTATTATAGCCAAGGCTTGATAAAAGCTTACAGCCTCATCAGTGGGTGGAATTTGCCCTCCCTGGTGGGCCAAAGAGTCTGCAATTGTGTTGCCAGTCACACCTATGTGACTCGGTACCCACTGCATAATTACAGGGGTGCCATAGCGTTGTTTAATGTT